GAAGCGAAGTGCCTCCCGTCCGAGTCGGTTCTCCCGCCTCGCTCCCTTGCGGTCCGGAGCTAGGATCCGACAACGACGGTAGACAAGTACCCCATTACGTTCGCCCCCTCAGGTTCCATGCGTGCGGAACCTCGGATGTAACACCAGTAAATGCTGACATTTGTAAAGAAGAAAGATATTTTATTGTACCATACATAAATAATGTATCAAAAAAAATTCAAAACTATAAAAAAAAATTTGATTTTAAAATTTCTCATAAACCAATGAATAAATTAAACAAGATAATTAAGACTACTACATAGGCTGAAAAGTCCCGGGATTTTTAATGAAAACAAACGTTTTTTGGGCAAAGTTATATTTATTCCTCAATATAAGTTGCCTTCGAGGGCGATACACTTGGTATAGCGATTTTCCAATATTTTGATGCCCTTTCTGTAGTACGAAACGTCTAAGCCTTCGAAATACGCCTCGGTTTCCGCGATGACTTCTTCATTCGATCTGAATCTCTTTCCCTGGAGCCACCGCTTGAGGTTTGGGAACAGATAATAGTCGCTGGGGGCCAAGTCTGGAGAATACGGTGGGTGAACAACCAATTCGAATCGTGATTGGTCCAATTTGGCCATCGCTTTCAAGGACATGTATGACGGTGCGTTATCGTGATGGTACAGAACTTTTTTCTTCGTCATATGAGGCCGTTTTTTCTTTATTTCGTCGTTTAGTTTGTCCAATAACGCTGCATAATACTCTCCCGTAACTGTTCGTCCCTTCTGCAGGTAATCGATGAAGATTATGCAATGCGCACCCCAAAAAACGGAGGCCATAACCTTCCCGGCCGAGCGTTGGTCTTTTGGCCGCTTTGGTCGGCTTTCGTGGCTTTCCAGCCACTCTGCAAATTGCTTATTGGACTCAGGCGTATGGTAATGGACCCATGTTTCATCCATCGTCACAAAACATCGAAAAAAATCCGCTCGATTACGCTGCAACAACGCCAAACCGGCCGTTGAATCATCAACGCGCTGCTGTTTTTGGTCGACGGTCAGCAAACGCGGCACCCATCGCGCCGATGGCTTTTTCATCTCCAAAAGATCGTGCAAAATGTATCCCGCCCGTTCTTTTGAGAGGCCGACGGTCTCAGCTAACTCGCACAACTTCACTTTACGATCACTCAAAACGATTCGATGCACTTGCTTTACGATTTCCGCATTCGTAGCCTCTTTTGGCCTTCCAGAGCGAGGTGCGTCTTCGGTGCTTGTACGACCCATTTTAAATTCACTAAACTGCCGATAAACTGTTGTTCTCGAAGGAGCAGTGTGGGATAACATTTCTGCAACCATTGCAATGATTGTTCAGAAGTTTTTCCCATCAAAAAACAATGTTTGATCAAGATGCGATATTCCCGTTTTTCCATTTTTTTTTACGAAGGCGAAAGTAGCGTCACTCAAACGACTGTAGTTTGTAAACGAATGGACGAAATGTCATGAAACTTCATACTTAAACTAGTGACAGATGAGCCTCTCGAAATGAGTCATGTTCATTTTCTGGTGGCGCCACCTATTGAAAAATCCCGGGACTTTTCAGCCCATGTAGTAGTAAAGACAAGCTGAAAAAAGATGAATTATCTAATGTGATATATGAAATTAATTGTTCGAATTGCAATGCTTGTTATGTTAGACAGATAAAAAGACAACTTGACACGCAAATAAAAGAACATATTGCGAATATAAAAAAGCCTGCTAATATACTGTCAGTAGTTTCTCACCACCAACTACAAATAAATCATGAATTTGATTGATTAAATGTGAACATCTTAGATTCAGAACAATCATATTATAAACGAACAATTTCGGAAATGATATATACAGGGTGTTAGTTAAGTATGTTCCCAAACTCAACAGAGCGATTCTTTGGTTTATTTCAAGTAAAAAAGCCCATATAAACATGTACCCTAAACGGCTTAGTTTCCGAAATAAAACAATTTAAACGTGTAGTATATATATGTATATATATATATATATATATATAAAAAAACAGAAAAACAAAAACAGGCTTTAGTTCTTCTGATGAAATAAAACAATTAGATGACATGTTGAAAATGTCCACCTTGCGTCATGATACATTCATCGAGCCTTTACCTCAAAGATTGACGTAGACGCTCAAAGATACCAGGTGTGTTACGTATTGCCTCACATGAAGCAACTATTCGATTTCTCAAATCATTCTCATTCTCAATTGGGGTGGGCATATCTGTCATTTCAAAATTTGTAAACTTAGGCATGATGAAACCGAAGTCAAATATCGAAAACTCAAAATGGCAGATCCGATATGGGGGACAAATGTGTGAAAAATCATGGGGTTTTTCATGAAAAATGGATATCTACTTGATTTTTTGGACGTTGATTAAAAATCACAATGAATTTTTTTTTAATTTTCGAATGGTGGCTACAAAACGCATTTCAAATTTCATAATGCATAATGAAGAAGTTAAGACTCGACTTGTGTCATGTTATAAATTGTGTCATGTTATAAATTTGTCCCCCATATCGGATCTGCCATTTTGAGTTTTCGATATTTGACTTTAGATTCTTAATAAGCGGCTCGAAAAGCCCTTAAAATACCAAGTTTCATAAAAATCCTGAAAAAATTAGAAAATTCATCCGCCATATTAGATCCG